TTATTTCTGATAGAATACATGCTCTTCTATCCTAGCTAAATAAAAAGATGAAATTCTACTTTATTTCCTACCAAAAATCTTAGACTTTATTTTCATGAAAAAATTAGAGTTGTTAAATCACTAAATATTGATGGGAATTAAAAATTACTTTGTCTATAATGCTGAGAGACACTTAAGTTCCAGTGCATTGAATCTAGTATTGGTTTAAGTTAAACAAGGCAATATTAACTAGTGAGTAGACAAATTAAGATTTTAGATTATTGTTTTCTCTTCTTGGTAGCCTCATAATGTAGAATATAAGTACAAAATTGTCATTTGTGCATTGGGATGGTGACCTGTATAAACTATCTTAGTGACTCCTGTGCCCTCTGGCTGGGTTGAGTTTGGCCATGGGGCAGCATTGGCAGGAGATTCTGAGGCAGGGAGGAGAGTATGGTAGGGGTATATATTCCTCCAGTCTTTCTCCGAGGGGTGTCTGTGGGCTGACTGTGTTCTTTGACCAAAGGTCACAGCAGCTATCTGAAGGCCCTCTCCAGTGAAACAAAGATGAAAGAGCCCTTTCTGTCTGTGGGTTCCAGTAATTAAAATTGCTCCCTCCTTAACACCTCGGAGTAGCAACACACATTGCTGTTATTAGCCAAGAGGTGCTGCACTGTATCTGGTGGTTTCCCTACTCCCTGCAAGCACCTTTGAAAATAATCCCTTTTTTAAACTCTACTCAGATTTCCCAATCTGAGTATGCTGTTTGTTTCCTGTTGGGATGCTGACTAAAATAGCTGCTTTATGTATTTTTAATCATTATCCTAATTGATATGCCAGATAAACCCTAATAATACTTATGCTAATTTGTTTTGGGCAATAACTGAGTGTTTGCAAAACTGCCCTTTGTTTTCCTTGCAGTTTGTGTCTTCTGGTGTGTTGTTAAGGGAAAAAAAACCCGTGTTAAATGATGTGTAAGAGGCTAGTAATGGCCGGGCGCGGTGGCTCACGCCTGTAATCCTAGCACTCTGGGAGGCCGAGGCGGGCGGATTGTTTGAGCTCAGGAGTTGGAAACCAGCCTGAGCAAGAGCGAGACCCTGTCTCTACTAAAAATAGAAAGAAATTAATCGGACAACTAAAAATATGTAGAAAAAATTAGCCGGGCATGGTGGCGCATGCCTGTAGTCCCAGCTACTCGGGAGGCTGAGGCAGGAGGATCGCTTGAGCCCAGGAGTCTGAGGTCGCTGTGAGCTAGGCTGACACCACGGCTCTCTACTCCAGGCAACACAGTGAGACTCTGTCTCAAAAAAAAAAAAAAACTAAATAGTTGAGTGTTAAAACTGAGGTAATTTATTGATCACATAGTCACAGGTAAAGAAACTGATTAAGTTTGTACACAGCATTTTCTTTATGAGCACAGAGAAGCCAGAACCTTTTTGTAATCAATCACATTGAACTAATAATGTAAACTCAGGTACATTGCTTCTTCGGTACAGAGTTTCACTTGCTTAATGTAAACTTGGGACATTGCTTCATCAATGGGGGCACAAACATTAATGTATTCATGGAGTTTATAGTGTAAGAACATAATATGTATGGTGCAGTCTAGAAGAGGAAATTACTTTCATATGTTATTATGAATGTTACAGAAGCTTCCATCCCACTCACATTTTCAGATTCTTTAGTGTTAAATTTTACCATAGGGAGCCATTCACTTGCAACATTTTTAGAGGGACGTTCAAGTTAAGGTAGGATAATTAATAAGGATGTCAAGGATTACAGGACAGTCTAATATAGTTGATATATTTAATATTTCCCCCATGAAAACATGACAGTTTCTAATGAAATCAAATTTTATTTTATAATTTAAACTCAAAAGATAAATATAAGTTATCCATTTAATAAAATTTGCCAAATAGCAACTAAGTTGTTAACTGTTTTATGGGAGAAAGCCAATCTTGGCCCTTCTGTTTTGGGAATGTGTTACATATTAGTTTTGGATCATGTTGAATATATTTTTCCCTTCTCCTTCTTTCAGATTCATCAGGATTCATTTTTGATTTGCAGTCTAATACTGTACTGGCTCAGGGAGGAGCTTTTGAGAACATGAAAGAGAAGGTAAGATTAGTCACTATGGATAGTAAACTTGAATGTCATAGGAAAATTTAGTTGCTGATATAGTCAGTGACTATCACAAACTCATTATGAAAGTGAAATTTTAAGAACGAAACAATGCCAGTATATGTCAGAGTGACCACTATAAAATTTAAGTGCAAACATGATTTTCTTTACATATCTCTGTATATATTCATTCTAAATTCTTTTGAAGACATTTAATATTAATTAATTAATATTTATATGGCTGAGTTTGCATCTCATTTGGCAACATTCTTTGGGGAACGATTGGAGTAAGATCCTCTTATTCACTTGAAGAGCAGTAAGTCCAGGAGACTTTAGAGCAAAAAGAGAAATAGATCTTCTGCGGAGCATTCCTTTGGAAGAAAACAAGGTATTTTTAGTAATATAACCCTTAATGAACTATAGAGAAAAATCTAAAAGCTTTATATGCTTTCTGCCTTTCTAAAAAAAGTATATTGTCATAGATATACAGTGGTTCAGCAGTATAAACACATTTTGAATTATCAGAATCTTACCTTTATCATGGAATCTGTAAGTTTTGCCTAAAGTCCATTTTTTAGGCATCAATGCTAAAGGTTTTGTTTTGTTTTGTTTTTAAGACCAGGTCTTGCTCTGTCAGCTGGCTAGAGTGCAGTAGCGTCATTATTAGAATATCTATTTTAGAGAGCAATTTGGCATTATCTAATGAAGTCGCAGATGCCCTACTATCCAGGAATTATACTAGTAGTTATATATAACAGACACATTCTCTCATTGTTCACAGAAGACTGAATTTTTTTTATTGTTTACAATGTTGTAAACATTGTTTTAGGCACTGAGGATTTAGCAGCCTAAGGATGTTCATTACAGCATTCTTCCTAATAGCCAAACACTGGAAACAAAGTGTCCATCAATAGAATCAATAAATTTGGTTTATCATACAATGGAAATCCTATGTGGAAGTTAAAATAAATGAATAAGAGATGTATTCATCAACATGGAAAAAAACCTAAAAAACAATGCTACCTAAGAAAAGCAAATTGAAGATAAACAAATATGATATAATAATATTTATGTTTTGTTTTTTGTTTTGAGACAGAGTCTTGCTCTGTTGCCTGGGCTAGAGTGCTGTGTCGTCAGCCTAGCTCATAGCAACCTCAAACTCCAGGGCTCAAGCAATCCTTCTGCCTCAGCCTCCCGAGTAGCTGGGACTACAGGCATGTGCCACCATGCCTGACTAGTTTTTTCTATATATTTTTAGTTGTCTAGCTAATTTTTTTCTATTTTTAGTAGAGACAGGGTCTCACTCTTGCTCAGGCTGGTCTTGAACTCCTGACCTTGAGTGATCCTCCTGCCTCGGCCTCCCAGAGTGCTAGAATTACAGGCATGAGCCACCACGCCCAGCCAATAATATTTATGTAATGTAAACTAATAATGTATATTACCTATAGATACATATACACATCATAAAAATGCAAAAACGTGTATTGAAATAATACCAAATTCAGGGTAGAAATCTCTGAGGAGAAAAGAAGGGAAATGGGATTTACTGGGGCATTCATGGGGCTTCACTCATTTTGTTTTAATAAACAGAGTGTGTCATGTGGTGGATGTCCATTATGTTTTATGTACCTGAAATGGTTTACAATAATTTAAATTATTTGTATAAATTATCTTTATAAAGTTTGTATACAATTAAATGACATAAAGTAAAAATGTTTTGGAAAATGCTATATAAAAATCTAAGTTGTTAATATTGGTGGTTCATTAAACTTTCTACCTTTCCTACAGTATGCTAAAAATGTGAGTGAATGTTGATGCTAAATTAGTACCTGAATAACTAAATTAAACTACCCTTTCTTGATATAAAACCTGGTATATACATTCTATTTCTAGAAATGTTCTGCTTTTCCAAGTTTTGAAATTAATTTTTTATATGCTGTTATCACCCATCTATTAATCATTCCCAGTGAGATGGTTGTAGGTATTCTCACTGACACTAAAGAGTGATAAATATTGTTAAAAATGAAATGTCACTCTTTCTGTTATTCTCTGTAATAGGCCTCGGCTGCCTAGTGACCTACGGATGTTAGAATTAAATGACCCTGTCATCTTTTCCAGATAAATGCAGTGCGTGCAATAGTTCCCAATAAAAGCAACAATGAAATCATCCTGGTTTTGCAGCACTTTGATAATTGTGTGGACAAAACAGTACAAGCATTCATGGAAGGTAATCCTAGCTCAGTTTTTTTTTAAGTTTGTATTTGTTCAAATAGAATTTGCTTCAGACTTTTATAACATTCAACAATCCAATTCTTCATAGATGATATAGCAGACCCCATGATAACATACCATACCATGACATTTTAAAAATGTAAGAGAACCTCTTTCAATACTATAAGCAATTCACTCATAAGCTATATGATATATGGAATAAGGGACAAGCTGAGAGAACACCATCATTTTACTCAAAATGTTCTCTAATGGTATTTAGAAAGAAATCGTGTGGCCAGTGGTATAAGGAAATTGATTGGATTTGGATTGAATAAGAATTTAAGAGACTTAATATCAAAGTAGTGATTCAGTGGCCCAGCAACAGATGGCAAATTCAAGGACTCAGCATTCTCTTCCAGATTCTGATATCATTCATTAGTTTGGCTCTGGCAAGTGACTCAAATGTGTGGGTTTGAATTTCCTTATTTGACATATAGAAGAATGGAGGGCTTAGTCAGGCCTTCAGATAGATCTATAGAGTTGAAGAATGTTTTACAAGCTTCTTTCCACATAACTCATTTGAGAAAAGCTTTACCATAAGCTACTGTATCATTGAATAGCAATACCAGATTGGGTCTCCCTGTTTCCATTTTCCTGAATATGCCAGTATAGGATAAACAGGTACAAATACTGTAAGGTTTTTCATTGTCTTCATTTATTTTCTTTATAATGTTAATGTTTGGGTCTAAGATAATTGTGCAGCTGTCTCCAAAACAATGTAGCCAATGTGATATGTAACCTGGAGGGGAGGTGATGGCCCATTTTGGCTAAAACCAGTCATCTTTGTAATTGGTCTAAGATGTATAGATAAAAGAATCTTCAGAAAGGCCAGACTATGTTAATTTCTTCTTGGAAGAACTTACTGAGGAAATTACATGGAGAAGAGGTATCTAAATAGGCAGATATTCCAAAAGGGAAGCAAGAATGGTTATCCCATTACATTACCTAAGACACTTGATCCTTAACTTTTCTCATTAGGAGCTTTGGAAATTCTGCAGCAATTACATAATGGGGGGACACTAATTCCTGCTTGTGTGTGGTAGGAGAGAAAATCTATGATTGGTTTCTCTTACAGGTAGTGCCAGTGAAGTACTCAAAGAATGGACAGTAACAGGCAAGAAAAAGGTAAAAATGAATTAAATTTAAAAGCATGATATTGATGTTTGTATTAGTTTTAAAAATTTAGGCTCTGAAAAAATATTTGAAAGCAAAGATTTATGTACACATCTTGAGTTTACCTGGGTTAAAAACGCATCTTCTTCTTTGACATGGAACCACAGCTGTGTCTCACTGAGTGCTACAAAGTCCCCTCCATGTGACTGAAGGCAGGAAACAGAATGACTTTGCCATGCCACGGTGCATTTGCTGAGGGGATATTGGACAGGAGTGGAAAAGAGAGCAAATCAAAGAAAGCAGAGCTCCTCCAGAGAAAGTGATCTAATTGAGTGGTTTTCAACCATATTCATATTAGATAAGTTATAATAAAACAGTTCAGTTTTTTAGGTCAGACAACTGGACTGTAGTCCCTGATATTAATTAGCTTTGACATAAAGCCTAAAGAGGGCCTTTGCTTTTCTCTATTAGGTGCCTTGCAGAGGGCTCTGGTATTCCAGTTTCAGGAGGTAGGAGGCACTTGGGCTGTGGATTCAGTCAGAACTGGATTTCTATCCTATTTCACTGTGTACTGCCTTTATGATCTGGAGTATTGTTTAACTTTTGTGTGCCTTAGTTTCTCATCTCTAAAACAGGAAATTAATACTAATAAATACGAGTACCTAATATAGTACCTAACATATTAGTTCTCATTCTGTTTTCCTTGTCCACTTAAAACCAAACCACGCCTGTAATCCTAGCACTCTGGGAGGCCGAGGCGGGTGGATCATTTGAGCTCAGGAGTTCGAGACCAACCTGAGCAAGAGCGAGACCCCATCTCTACTAAAAATAGAAAGAAATTAGCTGGACAGCTAAAAATAGATAGAAAAAATTAGCCAGGCATGGTCGCGTGTGCCTGTAGTCCCAGCTACTTGGGAGGCTGAGGCGGGAGGATCACTTCAGCCTAGGCGTTTGAGGTTGCTGTGAGCTAGGCTGACGCCACGGCACTCTAGCCCAGGCAACAAAGCAAGACTCTGTCTCAAAAAAAAAATACAAAAAAAAAATAAACCAAATGCTTTCCCCAAAGGATACTAGCTTGTCTCAAAATTCTTCCCACAGCTCTATATCTTAAATGTAGCCTCTTAAGGAAATGCTTGAAATATGGATTTACTCAAGTATCTCTATGAAATCTGTTTGGGGTATACTTTTTCTGTATTAGGTTAGTGCTTGAGTTCTGAAATGTTTTCTTGATAACTCTTGTATCACTTTATTAGGAGCTCTTTCAGGTCTTGACCAAACCAGGGTTGGCCTCAATGACCCTTCAAAATTTTTTCCAAGGGGTACCTAGTATTATACTACTAAAGATTCCCCTGAAGCTCTCCATGCCTACAGCTTTGAATATTTAACTTCTTTCCACTGCTTTCAACCTACATAGACAGCTGTGAGTGTTCTGGAAAACACCAGTTTCTTAATTTATTGGCCCAGGATTATAAGTTATTAATGATATAAGATATGCATGAAGCTGGAAAAGTATGTGTGTTAGAGATATGCACATTTCTTAAAATATGGAGGAAGAAAAATGGCTTTATTTTGGCACTCCCAAATGCCCTAATTCAGTCCAGTTAACTTTTGGGATTATTCCAATAGGATGTGACTATGAGTAGTTACTGGCATAGTTATTACATACATGGGACAATGATATGAAAACTTAGCCAGTTTACATAGGAGAAAGGATTTAAGAGAAAGTTGAGAGCTGTGTGGAGGAGAAAATCATATTTAGAATTCAGTAGTGCTCTTGCAGGAGAGGGCCACAGAAAGGACTTGGGGAAAAATTGATTGAGTTGTATCCTTCTAGCCTTAGGAATAAAATTAAGTATTGCCAGTGGAGCTGTGGGTTGACAAGACAAAAGATAAAGGACTTTTTTGTTTAATTTTATTGTTTACATAGATAATACATTCCTATGGCTCAAAATTCAAAGATACAAGAGTTACACTGAAACATCTTTATGCCATCCCTTTGCCCCAGCCATTTGGTTCCCCACACACAAGGCAAACATTGTATTATCAATTTCTTATGTATCTTCTAAGATATTTTATACACATATAAGTAAATAAGAATACATGTTCTCCTCTTTGCCTGCTTTTTTTCCATGTAGCATATCTTGGAGCTTATTCCATGTCTTAATATGTAAAGAGCTTTCTTATTGTTTTTTATGTATAGTTATCCTATTGTTTGGATGTACCATAACTTATTTAACCAGTCCCCTATTGATCAACATTTGGGTTGTTTCTGATCCTTTGCTTTTAATAACAATACTGCAATAAATAGCCTTTGTGTGTGTGTGTGTGTGTGTGTGTGTGTGTGTGTGTGTGTGTGTGTAATTTTGCACATGTGTTAGTCTTGCCTAGAATAGATTTCTAGAAGTAGAATTGCTGGGCAAAGGGTATATGCATGTGTAATTTTGATAAGTGTTGCTAGATTGCCATAGAGAGTACCACTTTACACTCCCACAGGTAATATATGAGAATGCCTGTTTCTCTATACCCTCAACCCTGTCAACCCTATAATGTTATCATACTTTTTGACCTTTGTTAGTCTAATGAATAAAAAATGATAATTTATACCTCTTATTAGACTGAGGTTACACTTCATTTTATATGTTTGTAGCTTCTAACATTGTTTTCTATGGATTGTTTTATTTTCTGTTAGAGCTCTGTATATGTCTAGCTCTTTGTTTGAATATAAGTTGCACATATTTTTTCATATTTTATAATTTATAATTTGATTTTGCTTAAGGTGGATTTTGCCATGAAGAAATGTTTTATATTTATGTGTTTCAGTATATCCAAAGTATAGGATTTTATATAGTAAAATTTTATTTTATGCAATAGTTCAACATATACAAAAATGTATTAAATGGAAGAACGTATGAGAAATTGGTAACATTGGTTACCTTTGGGTAGCTAGAGTTACCTATCTGGATTTTGGGGGTGGGGGTGGGGTCTTCTTTTTCTTTCCTTTTTTTCAAATCTTTAATACCCTTAGAACAAAAAGAAGAAGAGCAAACCAAAACCTGCAGCAGAAGCAAGTAACAGTATCCCTGATTCCAGTAAATCAGTTTCCATTCAAGAGGAACAGTCTATGCCTTCCTCAGAGAAAGGTGGTGTTAATGGTTACCATGTCAATGGTGCCATCAATGATACTGAGTCTGTGGACTCACTTGGTGAAGGTTTGGAGACACTTTCAATAGATGCCAGAGAACTGGAGGATCCTGAGTCTGCCACACCAGATATGCTGGATAGAACAGGTGAGTTTATTAACAGGTTTTTGAAAAGGTACATTCAGTTGAAAAAGACAGGAGCCTCCTGGTTGAGAATGTGATCAATAAATTAAATCTAGTTGGTCTTTTACTTTTTAGTTTTTGTTACCTTTTGGGTGAAAGAGCCACATTTATTATCAAAGGCCTAGAAAAATATAATTCTTCCATTTTCTCATATTTTAATTCTAGTCTAGATCAGTCTTGTAGAAATCTTCTAACTTAATAGCAGAGGAGTACCTTAAGAGACTACAAAAGGTGACTTTTAAGTTTTTTCTTTAAAAATCGTAGGTCGGGTACGGTGGCTCATGCTTGTAATCCCAGCACTTTGGGAGGCCCAGATAGGAGGATAACTTGAGGCCAGGAGTTCGAGGTAACAGTGAGCTATGATCATGCCACTGCTGTCCAGCCTGGATAACAGACTGAGACCCTGTCTCAAAAATAAATGAATAAATAAATAATATTAAGAATAAATAAATAATATTAAGAAATAATAAGAAGAAATTATGATGACATGATGATGTTGCTATTATTAGTCTAAGACCCAGTACAATGAAGAATATGTGATGGTAACTATAATCCCAGCTTTCACAAGAACTAGACTGTTGGTTTTTATAGTCTCACGTTTTCTTTCTGGTAAAGAGTTAAGATTAGTTTTAGTTGTAAATTCACATATTTTATATATTTCCTTGTTTGTTGACCATTTTGCTGAGGACTGGGAAGATGCTGGGAATATCTCTTTTTAAAAATTACTTATAGGCCGGGCGTGGTGGCTCACGCCTGTAATCCTAGCTCTCTGGGAGGCCGAGGCGGGCGAATTGTTTGAGCTCAGGAGTTCGAAACCAGCCTGAGCAAGAGCGAGACCCCGTCTCTACTAAAAAAAATAGAAAGAAATTAATTGAACAACTAAAAATATATAGAAAAAATTAGCCGGGCATGGTGGCGCATGCCTGTAATCCCAGCTACTCGGGAGGCTGAGGCAGGAGGATCGCTTGAGCCCAGGAGCGTGAGGTTGCTGTGAGCTAGGCTGACGCCATGGCACTCTAGCCGGGGCAACACAGTGAGACTCTGTCTCAAAAAAAAAAAAAAAATTACTTATGGCCCAGTGCAGTACCTCACGCCTGTAATCCTAGCACTCTGGGAGGCCGAGGTGGGAGGATCACTTGAGGTCAAGAGTTTGAGACCAGCCTGAGCAACAGGGAGATCCCTTTTCTACTAAAAATAGAAAAACTTAGCCGGGCATGGTGGTGTGCGCCTATAGTCCCAGCTACCTGGAAGGCTGAGGCAGGAGGATGGCTTGAGCCAGGAAACTGAGGTTGTTGTGAGCTAGGCTGACACCACAGCACTCTAGCCTGGGCGACAGAGCGAGACTCTGTCTCAGGAAAAAAAAAAACAAAAAAACTTATTTGTTAATCGAATTCCCCTTGCCCTGCTGCTTCTGGCTTTATAAATGTAATGCCAATGTAAGAATTATGCTGTGCTTTTTAGATGTTCTTTTACTGGTTAGTTCACACACACACACACACACACACACACACACACACACACACGTACACACACACACAGACTTAGAGAGAAACATTGCACCTGTATCGACCTCAGACAAACCAATGATAGTCAGTGGCTTCCATTTTTTTTTTCTGAGCTAGCTTTCCTCTCATTTCCTAACGCTTTGTCCTTTCAATTCCCTAAAGCTTTTTAAATTCTTCCTTTTTCTCAATATAACTTATGGAAGCTAACGGAAGTTGGTGATGCTGACTCTTTATTTCCTTGTGTCAGAGCTACAAAGCAGCTACCAAGCTACAGGGAAGCTACTAAGCTGTAGGGAATGAGCTCTCTATCAAAAGATGTGTTAACCATAGACTCCTCTTCTTCATCCACATGCCACTTAGGGCCAAGCCAGAAGCTACTGATAGCCACAACCAGCTGATTCTGATCTATGTTTTATTTTGTCAGTTGATTTTGTTCACAACCTTTTAAGAGGCATGTTTTTGCTTAAAACATTTTTACCTGTTTCTTTGTGTACTTAAGATTGCTTGATTGATTTATCCCTAAATTGTGCTCTAAAATACTGTCCTCTTTCTTGGACAGGATCCATGCTGGAGAATGGTGTCTCTGATTTTGGGTCCAAGTCTTGGACTATGCACTCTATTCAGAATTCTCAACAATCCAGGAATGCTGCCAAATCTCTCTCAAGACCTACCACAGCACCTCAGTTTTCAAATCTGGGGATGGATGATGTTCCCTTCTCCACCAATAAAAAGTTAGGTAAGTCAGGGACCCACCTGTGAGAGAGAATGAAAAATCTGTGTTTTTGGCTAAAGAGGACAAATTATCTCTTTGTTCTCATAGATGAAGTTTCAGAAGGGCATCTAGTAATACTTTTTCTGTTTTCCAGGCAGTGACTACCCAGCCCTTCCCCTACCTCTGTGTACTCTACTGGAGCCTGATAGTAGTTTAAATGCTGTACAGTCTTGTTACAATGACAGGGACCCTTTCTGTGAATTAAAATCAAATTCTGCTGCCAGGATGACTTATCTGCTAACATTAACCTGTTCTTTTATTTGCTTTACTGCAACATTTTTGTGCTATTTCCTTCATTTTTATCTCCTGGTTGACTCAACAAGTAAAAAGCTCTTCCATCTCTGAGATGACATTTTAAAGAAATATTTTCACTCCTCTTCACAACTTCATGCTCTTACTGATGTCTGGCAGACTCTAGCTTTAGATAAGATCATTTCCTCTTAAGTAAGTACTTAGCATTGACTGGTGGTAGGTCTTTGCTTTGCCTTTTTTTTTTATACTATAATAATCATTTAAATAAACAGCCAACAATTAAATAAACAGAGATAGTAGCCCCTCTGAGTTTCATACATCTAAGCATAGTGGTCCACTCCACTGAACAAATGAAACACAGAAATGTAAAGGACATTTGTAATTGGTCGCTCTTTATGGAATTATTTATTCTACATGAACTAAATTTTAATTAGTGAGGCTCTTTTTCATTTTTCTAGTAGCCCTTAGCTTGCTGCAGAACAGCAAGTCTGAGACTATCTGATCAAGCAAAAATAAAAGAGGGTATATAGGCACAAGGCTTGAAAGGTTTTAGGTAGGTTCTAAAAGACATCAAGTTGAGATGAGGAAGAATTTAAATAAAAAATTGAAACTGTGTATCTTGGCACAGTTTTAAACTTTTTAGATCCATGATTCTGACAGTCAGTTGTACATATAACTTTGGCATTGGTAAATATAGAAAGATTAATAAAATTCTTGGAAACCGGTTAAAATGTGCTGGGTAGGTATCTTTTTCTACAAAGCTGGCTTCCTCACATACAATGCTTCAAACTGCACTATACAGAGAGAGAACTTTTTAATTTTGCCATGTCCACGTGATAAATTGTATTCTATTTTTTATTTTTTGTAGAGACGAGGTCTTGCTATGTTGCCCAGGCTGGTCTTGAACTTCTGGCCTCAAGCGATCCTCCTGCCTCAGCCTCCCAAAGCACTGGGAGTACAGGCATGAGCCATGATGTCCAGCCTCTTTTTGAAGTCTTTTTTTTCTCTGTGTAGTTTCATTTTGGGTAGTTTCAAAAATTGCTGTCTTCAAATGTATTAATCCATTTTTAAACTGTTTCTAGTCTGCATTTAATTCCATCCAATGTATTTTTCGTCTCAGACATTGCTTTTTACGTCTCTAGAAGTTCAATTGGGGTCTTTTAAAATATCTTTCATGTCTTTCCTTAACATCTTATGTGCTTTCCTCTACCTTCTTGAACCTATGGTTTCTAATCATAATAGCTGTTTGATGACCTTAACTTCTTAATTCTATCATCTGTGCCACTTCTACATCTGTTTCTGTTGATTGATTTTTCTCTTCGGTGTAAGTTACATTTTTCTGCTTCTTTGTATGCCTGATAATTTTTTATTGGATGCCAGACGTGAATTTTACTTTGTTGATTGCTCGATATTTTTGAATTTCTTTAAATACCCTTGTGATTTTTGGGGGGGACTTGGTTCTGTGGAAACAGTTTGAAGCTTGCTTTTAAGCATCGTTAGATGGGACTAGAGCAGCCTTTATTTAGTCCAGGGTAATTTTGCCTCGTTACTGAGGCAGTATCTTTCCAAGTATTCTGCCTGGTACCACATGTATTGTGAGGTTTTCTCACTCTGGCTGGTGTGAACACAAACTATTCCTGGCCTGGGTAAGCTCTGGTGATTGTTCCGCCTGCTGCTTTTCCACCTGTTCTTTTTCCTGTCTTGGGGTAGTTTCTTCACACTCGTGCACTGATCAATACTCAGAATCCTCTCTCTGTAGATCTCTGTGTAGCTCTCTCCTCACCAGTACTCTCCCCTGAGAATTCTAGCCACCGTGGCCTCCCTGAATTCTCAACTCTGCCCCCTCAAATCGAAGAGACTACCAGGCTCAGTTAAGGATTTCTCCTCCCTGCACTGCAGCCTGGAAACTCTCTTGAGGGCAGTAAGTTGGGGCAATCATAGACCTCACTTCATTTGTTTCTGTTTTCTCAGGGGAAAAGTACTCCCTGCTCTCCATTGACTGACCGTTGTTGTGTATATTTTTGTCAGTATGTGCATGTGTTTAGTTGTTTAAGATAGGAGGATAAATCCAATTCTTGACCAGGATATTTATTTTTTCAAAAATCTATGAAAACATTGGGATTTTTGTTGGAGAAAGTGGTCATTTAGAAAACATCTTTAGTCCACATGACATTTGCCTTAGGTGTTCATATCCAACTTTCAAGTCACCTAGGTACCTTTTCTTTATTAATCCTTGGGTTTTTTTCCCCAAGGTTCCAATATTGAAAAATCTGTAAAAGACCTCCAGCGCTGTACAGTGTCTCTTGCGCGGTATCGAGTTGTAGTTAAAGAAGAGATGGATGCTTCCATTAAGAAAATGAAACAAGCTTTTGCTGAATTGCAGAGCTGGTAAGTTAAGTTGCATTTGATATCAGTAGCATAAAAATGATCATTTATAAAGATGGTCAGCCATTCACCAAGTTCTTTCATTCCCACCTCCTAACTATTCTACATAGTGGGAGAGACAATTCTATGGTGTAATTCGCTTTCTTTTTCATTCTACTTTCAGTCACAGTGTGGGAATGAGAACTCACAATGTTCTAGAAATGGGCCTGAGGTTAATATTGTTGAGAAAGGGACAAATAATTATAGAGTAGATCATACCGTCTTACTTTAGGGTCTGTCACCAGGAGCCTGTAACAAATGAGATGATGTTTTTGAACAAAATTATAAAGTGGAAAGGATCTGTCTTTGCTTTCCTGGGTTCTTCCATCCTTCTTAATGCACTCCATCCCAATGGTCTTTTCTGTGCCCTATTATTAATTATTGATTTGTTTTTAATTTCATGTTTTCAAACTGTGCTCTGTGGAATACTCATTTCTTAAAATATATTAGTATGTATTCTTTGGGGAAAACTGGGTTTAGTGGTTAAAGAGATGTGAAAATACTTTTTTTTTTATTTTACTTCTCAGTGCCTTTTCAATGCTAATGTGTCTTGTGAATTATAAGAGGAAGCTATACTGTATTTATCAAATATATTTGATGATAGAATCTTTTGGGGGGAAGAATGTATTTGTCTTAGTCCATTTTGCATTGCTGTGACAGGATACCTGAGGCTGGGTAATTTGTAATGAACAGAGATTTATTTCTTACAGTTCTGGAGACTGGGAAGTCCAAAGTCAAGGGGCCCCCATCTGGTGAGGGCCTTCTTAATGTGTCATCCCATGGCAGAAGGCAGAGGGGCAAGAGAGGGCAAGTGAGAGACAACCAGAGAGGGCCAAAATCACCTTTATAATGAACCTGCTCTCATGATAACAACATTAATCCATTCATGAGGGTCATGACTAATCACCTCTTAAAGGTCCTACCTTTCAACTCTATTGCATTGGGGATTAAGTTTCCAACACATGAACTTTGGGGAACACATTCAAACCATAGCAATATTCTGATGTTTCCTAGAACACTGAAGCTGTTTTAACTATTAAATGTGTGTTTCAAGTGTTAACTGAAATTTAAGCCGTAGCTCATTTCTGGGGGTATTTGCATTTTATAAGGGATTTTTTTGAAACTGGAAAAGACTTAAGGAACAAATTAATCAAAATGATTGGAAGATAAGGAGTTAGGTTGATGTTTTTGGATTAAGTTAGGTTGATGTTTTGGGATTTAGGACTGTTCACTCTACTTATTTATAATAACTGCCTAGATCTGAAATATGGGAGGAAGTATTCATGAATAGAGAAACTCTACATCACTCTTCCTCACAACCATCCATTGTTTTCTTGCTGCCTATCTGTGGACTGTTCCCTTATGTTATACCCAACTATGTCTCTATTCACAAACTTTGTGCCACAACAAACCAGAGATAGAGGGGGGAGTGTGGGTCCCCTCAGTCCTCCTGGTCTCTGGAATTGAAGGAGTGAATTAATGAAGATGGATTAACACCTCCAAAAAGTTAAATCATCATAACCAAAAAGTACTTTCAGGATAGAAGATTCATCTAGTAATCTATCCATGCCTGGTCTTGAACCCTGAGTTCACCTTTGAGGTTTTATAGCTAGAAACTTAATGCCATGTCTTCTGTTTTTCTTAACATACATTTTTGTTCCTGCCAGATTACTCATTGTCTCACAACTTAACATTCACATTTCCTCTTCCATATACTAGTTAATGCCACTTTCCCAGCCTGATATACTCTCCTGTACCTCTCTATTTATCTAAATCCAACCAATTCTCCAAAACTCCCCTTAAATTAAGCTCTAACTTTTCCTGAAAATTTTTCCAGGTAACTGATTTCTCCTTTTTCTGAACCTCTGGGAGGAAGAACCTTGCCCTTTGTACTACATTCTTGTCATATTGGATATTGTTGGCTCATTTGGAAAATAAAGAGCTAAGTATAGGCCATCACAACTTTGCCTTGATAAGCCTCTGGTCTCCTTGATTGTTTAGCTTACTGATTACTTAGCCACAGGATCTGATTCCATTCAGAACAAGCCTGAACCAGGAAACACAGTTCCGGGAGAGAGATTTGTGAGTTCCTGCTGCCTTGGAACCCAGCCAGGAGGAGCCTCCTTCAAATAAATGACAAGTGAAATGGTTTCCTGCCTGGGAACTGTGTATTTAGGATTGATTAGCAAGCGAAACAACCAGGTCAATTTAACTTGAGGAAAGAGATTACTTGCCCTTTCCTGCTGGTATAAAGCCTTTCTCTCTGGCTGATTGGGTTTATAAACTACCTTATTTCAATGTTCCTTGTAGTTGCTACTTCAAGACATTATTGGCAGGTGAGCTAACTCCATTTGGCACCAAACCAGAGCTTGGAGTTAATGTCACTTAGGAAGCCATTTTTGTGTTGGTTATAGTATAAAAGAAAAGCAAAGGGTTCTAACAGATTCGCAGCAGTAAGATTACATTACCCCTGAGAGGGCACTAGGGAAATTATACAGATAACTCTTTTCACTTTGATGCCAAATAAAAACTGACACACCTATAGGAAGGTAAAATCAGAAGCTTTCCAATATATAAAACTTAAAATTTGTTCTTATTGATGATTTAGTAATAATCATCCCTACATCCAAGTTTACTTTTGTTGTTAATTAATAATACTTCTCTGCTTTATATTGTTGGAGCAGTTTGTGACTTAAGTTTAAGCTATTAAGGAGGCAGGATATGGAATGGAACATGAAGTTAGAGTATATAAACTCCTTTGGAATGTTTTCATATAATGTGTAGATGAAAAATGCCGACAGGCTACATACTCAGCTTCTCTTAAATAAATAGGAAGATTTCAATTTTATGATAGTCAAACAGTATTTATTAAAAGGCGAAATGGGTAAGAGAAAGACTGTCAAGAAGTTTGAGGTTATACAGCACATAGGGTCATGTAAATCTGTGGTTAAAATTTAGAAATTTTTCCTGATTTCTCATTGATCTTAGAAAAGTTATATCCTTTTGTTTGAGCTTGTTTACTTCTGTTAAAATAAGCTATCAGTAGTTTTACCAAAAAGGCTTTAAGTCCTTAAATTTAAAGGCCTTATAGAGATGCTGAAATCTTAGGAATCATTTTATAAACCAGAGTATCTCTAAAAATATCTAAAAAGCATAGAAGTAAAGGAATGTGCTAATATAGTATTATCAAAAATGTACATAGCACTGTAGTTCTAAATTATTCTTCAATTTTTGAATGTTTAGTACATTGATATCTTATTTCTACTAGTACTTGACTCCATGGTTCTTGCTGGTCTTTGATTTAAAATTTAACTCCTTAACTATCTGTGAAAATAATTACAGATTGGCCAGTTGGGGTGGCTCATGCCTGTAATCCTAGCACTCTGGGAGGCTGAGGCAGGAGGATCGCTTGAGTTCAGGAGTTCGAGACCAGCCTGAGCAAGAGTGGGACCCTGTCTCTACTAAAAATAGTAAAAATTAGCTGGGTGTGATGGTGCATGCCTGTAGTCCCAGCTACTTTGGAGGCGGAGGCAAGAGGATGACTTGAGCCCCCAGGAGTTTGAGGTTGCTGCAATCTAGGCTGATACCACAGCACTCTAGCCTGGGCAACAGAGTGAGACTTTGTCTCAAAAAAAAAAAAAAGAAAATAATTATAGGTCGAGTATCCCTTAGCTGAAATAGCTGGGACCAAAAGTATTTCAGATTTTGTTGGATTTTGGAATATTAGTAAAAACCAGTTGAGCATCCCTAATCTGAAATGTTCCTATGAGCATTTCTTTTTAGCATCATCTTGGCTCTCAAAAATCTTCAGTTTAGAATATTTTGGATTTTGGGATTAGGGATGCTTAATCTATAATAATAACACATGAAGAATGCAATTTACTGAACATGTTCAGTTATATTATCTGATTTATTTATCCTGATTTCTTTCCCACAAAGTAGGTATTTTTAATTCTGTTTTACTGAAAAAGGATTTGTGTCTTAGGTTAAGTAGTTTATCTAACATGGCATCATAAATTGTAGACCTAATATTTAAATCTGAGTATTCTGACCCAGTAACCTATACTCTCCATCCCATATCTCATTGATGCTCACTTCTCTCACTAAAGCTTGGGAATGTTAGACACTGTTGGTACATGTCACATATACAGACAATCCCTAACTTACAGTGGTTTAACTTATGATTTTTTGACTTTATAATGGTGCAAAAATGATACACATTCAGTAGAAATCCTACTCTGAGTACTCATACAGCCATTCTGTTTTTCAATTTCAGTATGGTATTCAATAAATTATATTACATGAGATATCCAACATTTTATTATAAAATAGGTTTTGTGTTAGATGATTTTGCCCAAGTGTAGGCTGATGTAAGTGTTCTGAGCACGTTTGAGGTAGGCTAGGCTCTAAGTTATGATGTTCAATAGGTTAGATGTATTAAATGCATTTTCAACTTACGATATTTTCGATTTACTGTCAGTTTATTGGGATGTAACCACATCCTAAGTCAAGGAGCATCCGTATTATTTCCTCCTCAGCTTAAAGGCTATATATATAGCAAGGTTATAGGGAAACCCCAACGTAGGAGAATTTAGGGACTGTGGAACTTAGTCACCATGGAATAGGGTTAGAATGAAGAAGACCAGCATTTTGATTGAATCTATGAAAGTATTTTTAAGTTCAATAACATAAAACTACAAGAAAAGATACTCCATCTGAGTATTTAATGTTCTTTTGATTTTATAATTCAGAAGGTTCTAAATCATTATTCTTAAGTCACAACTTGAAGTGCCTCATGATTCTGATATTCTTCAGGTCAGATCTTAATAGTGGGAAAGGTATTAAGATTAATGGCAAGGTCACTGTGGCATGAGGTTAATTAGAAAAGATTTCTTGGAGGAAACAAATCATTCTCAAGCTGTGGGGAAAAGCATGGAATTTACTCTGGCAGAAGGGGTAGAGGTAGAACACCACATTTAGGAAACAGAAAAAGGCATAGAAGGGGCACGGGGGGACCATACATAGCCTAGCTGGCGCTACGAAGTGGTAGTTGAAAGTAGTGAGGGATGAAGTCAGAAACTGAGGTAGAATAAGAGCATTTGATAGAGGGGTCTGAATTTTGTTTTTTTCTTTTTTAAAGATTTCATTACTCCCTCTAATTTTTACTCTATTGCCCATAATTATAACAGTTTTTTAAAAAATAGAAATAGGCCTGGCGCGGTGGCTCACGCCTGTAATCCTAGCTCTCTGGGAGGCAGAGGCGGGCGGATTGTTTGAGCTCAGGAGTTCGAAACCAGCCTGAGCAAGAGCGAGACCCCGTCTCTACTAAAAATAGAAAGAAATTAATTGGACAACTAAAAATACATAGAAAAATTAGCCGGGCATGATGGCGCATGCCTGTAGTCCCAGCTACTCGGGAGGCTGAGGCAGTAGGATCGCTTGAGCCCAGGAATTTGAGGTTGCAGTGAGCTAGGCCGACGCCACGTCACTCACTCTAGCCCAGGCAAAAGAGTGAGACTCTGTCTCAAAAAAAAAATAAATAAATAAAAATAAAAGTCATATAATTCTACCACCCTAACATGTAATTTTTCTTTTCTTTTCTTTCTTTTTTATGCAAAGACAGGGTCTCATTCTTGCTCAGGCTGGTCTTGATCTCCTGGCCTCAAGCTCTTCTCCGGTTTGGCCTCCCAGAGTGCTAGGATTACAGGCATGAGCTACCAGTCCCGGCTCCTTTACTTAACTCCTCTTTAAGTGGACCTTTTGGTTCCACCACACCCAGCCAACATAATTTTTATTTTCTGTGTTCCCTTGTGTTCCTTATCTTTATTCATACATATTCTTAATAGTTATAATCATAGTGACAGTGTAAGTTTTAATGTGTTCTTTTTAAAACTTATCTTTGATTCATCTCTTTGTAACTGCTTACATTGTGTTATTATGTGTACATGTTTACTTAAGAATTTCTAGGCCAGGCATGATGGCTCATGCCTGTAATCCTAGCACTCCAGGAGGCTGAGACAGGAGGATCACTTGAGCCCAGGAGTTTTAGATCAACCTGAGCAAGAGCAAGACCCTGTCTCTACAAAAAATAGAAAAATTAATGTTATTTTTCTAATGCAACAACCGTAAATAAATGTTAATTAACAATTTTTGGTACCAGGAGATTACTAAAGGCAAGAGCTAGAATCAATAGCTGCATGGTAGATACCTGTATATTAATTAAAGGGCTTGCTTGAAATGATGGGCACAAAATATATCTTAGAGATGTGAAGAGTGATGCTGCAGGAACAGCTATTCTGAGCAACTAAATTATGCAAAAGCTTTAGAATAAGTTGAACAAATGTGACAATGGTAAAAAGTCCTGGCAAGAAAAGAAGGAAATGTAGAACATTTAGTTACCAGTCTTTTTCCGTAGTAACAGTGACCAGTCATCCCAAACCATCTTTCATGGTTAAAGAAAGGATATGGAAATTCTCAACACTGAAGAAGGCTCAGGCTTAATAAGACCTAGTGTCTTTCCAAACAGGGTCCCAGCAATATTTAGCTGAATTTCATTAGCAGTTTCTGAATCCAGTGTACCAGATGCTTATTATGGCATATTTCCATTCAGAAAGGCCTTGGGAGAAGCTTAGTACCCTGAGGCATTGGAGTCAACAAGGTAGCAGAAAGTCTGACAGACAGAATGAGCCTTTTATCACTCTCTGAGAGGACTCATTGCTTGCAGTTGTGGCATCTATTAATAAAAACTATTACCTCATACCACAGTTACTTTTGAGTCTCTTGGCCACAGATAGTTACTGTACATAGTGGGACCACTGTTTAGCTCAGGAACAGATGGAAAACTTTAGCTTAAGTTTCTTTGTTAGAAAGGTGTGTTATGGTAAATTGTTTTTAATTATTAAAAAAAATGCCTTATGCCTGACCTACTTTTCACTTTTGAACTCTTACCACCTTCTCTATTTTTTTTATGATGCACACATTTCTGTAATTTTTTATTATGAAGACTTACAAATATACAGAAAAGTTGAAAGGATAGTACAGTGATCAGTGTATTTGCTATGTGTTTATATTTTGGTGGAACCATCTGGAAGTTGCAGACATGATATGTCGCTCCTAGATACTTTAAGCATAAATGACTTGAAAGTAGGTAATTCTTCTATTCAGCTATGATGCCATTCATTATATGATGTACTTTTTCTTTGATGTATTTTTAATAAGAAAGTTATTATATTTTAACATTTATTTATTTTTGTATTTTAAAGACTTACAAAAATTTTAATGGAAAATTGCAAATGTTGATCAAACTTTTCTCTGAGAAAATAAACCAACAGCTCAGTTAACCGGTAGGTTCTTCTGTTTAATGCTGGGCTGATATCACAGGACATTTCAATAGATATTATCAATAGATGACAACATGACAAACAACAAACAAAAAGAAATAGAAATTCTATTTTTTCATAGGGTTTTTTGGCATGAAAATATATACTAATTTTTTTTACTGGAGGGGTTATATGGTTGTCCCTGCCCTGCCTTACAAATTTCTTGTGATCACCAGTGAGTAAATCAAGAAACAAAGTTGACTTAAATGGATGCTAGTCATTCTCAAAGGGGGAGAAATTGCTGTCACAATGTACTAGCTCATATTGCCACAAAAGATCTGATTGTGTTGATACAGAACTTTCTTTCCTTGCTAAAAGTATCATGTGACATTCTCGTTTTCATAATAAAGATTGTAAGCTGCAAAAAGCTTACTTGTTTGCTGAAGTCTTTTGATAAATATTTTACAAGCTTTGTCAGAGACAAAGAATTTGTCATCTGGTGGACACAGTGTCTGCATCTTAAGGTGATTTGGCAGCAGAAGAGAGGTAATGTCAAACTGTAGGCCTGGCAGCTCCTATCTCAGTTGTGCTTTTGTTTTGCCTTTTAGGTATTCCAAAGGCTGCTAGAGTTCTTGGAGCAATATTGCCAAGGTTTGGGAATGTTTTCTTAGCAAAGTATTGCTACTCCACAATAGTATCTTCTCTCCAGTCTGGTGCTTTTGGATTAATATGCCAACCAAATTTGTTGAGTTACAAGTCTATTTATTAACATGCATAATGACTATCAAACCTATGTTCTCTGGCACTTGCCCTATAAAGGATTTTGTTCTTTGAGGAAATGATTCTGCCTTATACATTTTTGTATGTCTCACAACATAGTCTCCATATTAACTACTTTGTGCCAACATAACTACATGTTGAGCTAAATTGAATGTGTGTGTATATGTGTGTGCACAAGTGTGATTGCTTTTACAAACAGAAACAAGAGTGGAACTTTTATTTGCCCTGTAGTTATATTCCCATTCAAAAGGAGAAATGAGAATGAACAAATTTGAAGACAGTTAGAACATTTCATGTTTCTACAGGTATTAAAATTTTAGATTTTTTCTTCTGCCACCACTAAACAAAACTGATATGGTAAGGAAAATTCTTCGCATCCAGAGGTTGAATACCCTAAGTGTACCTATTGTCATCTATACTTACACATTAAAGGTTGTGGGCTCTTTTATAAGGACACAGAAAGGCTTTATGTGTCTCCAAACCATATACATTTGCAATGGAAAAAATTCTAATTGCCTATTTAATGTTCTTTTTCTATAAAAGGCTTACCAGAAACCTTTAATTTCATCCTTTACTATTGAATGTTACTCAGAAACCAGCACCCTACCTTGTATGTCTATCTCTTGACTGCTCTACGTTCTACATACTAAAACTCCAGTGAACTTGGGGCAGCTGTGGTCAGCTGTTGAAGATATACAAGTGCTAATCATGGCTAAATTTACTATGCCCAAGCGGGGATATTGCTTGGTAAAAATTCATTAGAAGCAAACATGTCAGATTTTATAGACCAAAATATAAAAAGCATGTGAGTGGCCAGGTAAGGTGGCTCATGCCTGTAATCCTAGCACTCTGAGAGGCTAAGGCAGGAATACTGCTTGAGCTCAGGAATTTGAGACTAGCCTGAGCGAGACCGTCTCTACTAAAAATAGAAAAATTAGCTGGGCGTCTTTGCATGTGCCTCTAGTCCCAGCTAGTTGGGAGGCTGAGGCAGGAGGATCGCTTGAGCCCAAGAGTTTGAGGTTGCAGTAGCTATGATGATGCCACTGCACTCTAGCCAGGGCAACAGAGCGAGACTCTGTCTCAAAACAAAAAAAAGTATGTGAGTGCATATGTAGAAATAATTAATTTCTGCAAAGACTTTTCCTTTAGCACAACTTACTAAGAAATGTGTTTTGTGGCTTGCTACTGCCATCTACTGGTTATCAACTCTTAGACTGATAGTGATTGGTCAGCTGTAATAAATAGAAATAAAGGGGAATTGAGTCTGTTTATTTCATTGGAAATCCCTAAAATATTCTCCGTTGAGTAAGACATCAGAATTTTCATGTGGTCGATCCAGTATTATTTTGTAGTATGTAGTATGCTTTTAGTGAACAAACTGACTGTCCTGTGCTATTAATAACATGTTATTTCTGTGTCTGAGTTTCTGAGCAAACCTTTTTTTCCTTTGTCATTTCTTCCTAGTTTAATGGATCGGGAAGTGGCATTGCTTGCTGAAATGGACAAAGTGAAAGCTGAAGCAAGTAAGATGAGTGAACTTTAATTAAAGCTATTACCTATGTGAACAATAGGTACCTGCTTCCCAACCCTCACAAAAAAAGCTTAATATAAATGTCACAATAAGACTTTCTATATTCAGTTAAACCATCTTGAGCAGTTGTACTGCACTGGCATATGAATTTTTTTTAGGTGAAATAACTTTACATGAGCCTGCTTTAAAAATGTTTCCAAATTTTAATATTTTGAGTGTAGAGTTCAATGTGTAAGAGACTGCATCATGGTCTGACACCGGGGTTTTCTTTTATTTTGTTTTTTGCTCTGGTGATTAAACAGTTCCATTGGGATTTTTTTATACTTGGAAAAAAACCTTTAGCATAAACAGAGAAGACTTCGTCGTGTTGTCTACAATTGAGTATATACATTCCTGTCATTACCTATCTCAGAACTTACATTGTTTTCTCAGTTTGTAGAATAGTCTTCACTCAGTGTCTATCATCAATGGGTTAGGGAAAACTCAGAAAATTGAGGGTTCAGGATGCCATAACTAGGATTCCTTGAAACCTTACTAAAATAGATTCTGGAGAGAGAGAAGCTAACTTGGGTAATTTGTGGGATTTTGTATGGAAGAACCAGGTAACTGCTCTTTGGTTATTTCTGTTAAATGTTAGATTGAAGATATACAGCTACATGAAAAGTAGGGATTGCCAACTGCAATGTGTACAATAGCATTGATTTGGGGCATTTCATTGGCAGGTTCTACCTTCATGCATTGAATGCCAGATTTATAATTAGGAAGGTTGTTTCTTTTAACCCACCCTCAAGCTGGTAGGAATAGAAATGCTGGGCTGGGTCGAGATGATGACTCACAGTTAAATTATTTGTGTCTGTGGTCACGGGCTAGAGGAGGCAGCTTGGCTCTGGGCTGAGTACAGTTTTGGTCCATTTTAACTTGAAATGTTGAGAATGTGACAGAGATGCTCTCCACTGTTTTTCAGAGGTGAGATTTCATTTACATTGAGTAATCTATCTTAGAATTTCTAAATTTGACAGTTTCAGCCCATTCTTACATCTGTGTATTCTCTTTTTGAAGATGAAGGTTTAGATAAACTAAAATCAGTAAGAAGACTTAGTCCTTACTTCTGAGAAGAAGGTGCTTTTGAAAATACACCTTTCAGGCTGGACGCGGTGGCTCACGCCTGTAATCCTAACACTCTGGGAAGCTGAGGCGGGCGGATTGTTTGAGCTCAGGAGTTCGAGACCAGCCTGAGCAAGAGCGAGACCCCGTCTCTACTAAAAATAGAAAGAAATTAATC